CAAAACGTCAGGTTAATTTCAATATTGTAACTTTTTTAGTGCTTGTGAAAAAAATTATTATACAAATTTTATGTACCCCCTTTAAGGGCTGTATCTTAACAAGGGATGCTCCAATGAAGTTTCTTTATATGAAAGATCCTATCTTTTTTTCGATGAGGAATCACCTCCTCAAATGTTTTACACTTATTCAGTTACACCCTGTATACTGTTGACAGTATTATTTGAATCCAAGCAGCAAGCACATAATATTCTTTTATTGTGTGAAACGTGGCTTGAAAATGATGATACTAATTTTGTGTATGTACATTGTTAATATCATTATTTGATCCTACAAAAATAACATTGGCTTATGGTAGCTATAATATATGTTCATAAACAAAATAATCATTGAAATATTTTATATATACTCTTTCCTGACATTATCATATTATCATACATAAAATTTAAGTATTAACTTAGCATTTCTCAAGTTAAACAATTTCAATATTAAATAGTTCATCAGTTGCACCAACTAAACAGTTGGTGCCTGCAGACTCCCCACTCTACATTCCATTGTTGATATCTGATATCAAATATCATCTAAGTACCTACCTACTTTATCTTTGAATATATTTGCGTTTTCATAAATTTTTTTTTCATAATTATGTCGAATATTGCCGAATGTTCAGTGGAAAATTTAATTGCGGAAGTTGAAAAGCGACCTGCGTTATATAATAAAGCATTAAAAGAATATTTCGATAGCATTCTTCAATACTTTCAATACAACACGTCAAAATGTTATATACATAAACAACTGTTCAGTCTTTTCAATTGGTGNATATGTATGACAAAAATACTCATCAGAGTCTTCTTTTCCAGACACGTCGTACAAGGGATCATGGAGCGCTCACTCGACATCACAGTCTCAAGGTAAGATATTCATTCACAATATTACATAGATTATTTTCTTCAAAGCGATAAAATGATGAAAAATTTGAAGACTAGACCACCAAAATAGAGTTTTACAGCGATAAAACAGACAGCCATGAAATTTACATATTGGTGTCAGTGTTCTTCAATTATACGTGACTTTCAGAGCCTAGCTATGCATCATTCTCACAATTTCAACCACTTTCACTGTTCTAATTAAATTGAACCGATTGAACCAGGTGTTAAAATATGACTGTGTCTAAATACTAAAACTATAAAAATTCACAGGTTCAATTTGATATTGTGATTATGAAAGTGACTAGACCCTAACTCTACGAGGAAAACTCTAATGAATAATATCTAAATAGAATAAAACTCACGTATACAATGAACAGATTCAAGAAACCAAAATGAAAAACCAATTGCCACACTTCACTGATTTTCATAACCTGGGAAAATAAACCAACAAACCTTCAATTCAAATTCAATGAGACATTTTAAATTCGAATCGAAATATTATTCTGAATAGAAACAATTTTACTGTTAATGCGTCAAGTAGTCGAGTGACTGGGTGCCGGCTCTGCGGTTACATATGAAGGCACGATAGATTTCAACAATGAAATCATATTGTTGAAAAATACGAGTTTATTCATTTACGTACTCCCTTCATACGAAGTATATTCAAAAAATAAGGTGAATTTTCAAATTTCGCGCGCTACGTTCATTCGATTGGCCTTTTTTCATGTTGGTACACTTGATACAGTATCTTCGAATACATCTTCACCGTTCCAGCTGTTTACCATGTTTAGTTTGTTGGTGAGAGGCATTAAAGTTAGAAGTGTTTTGCGTGTGGAGATTTTCTGCATTCGCAGCAAACTTTATGTAAAAAATGAAATTGAGTACTCAAATACACTTTTAAAGTTATCAGTGGCATACGGCGATTGCAGTCAGAAAAATATTCACAAATGGAAGAAGCTTTTCACAGAAGATCGAGAAAATGTGAATGACGACGCTCGCCCTGGACGCCCCAGCACATCAACACATCAACAACCGAGGAAAATAATGAGAAAGTGAAGAAAATTGTTATGGAAAATTGTCGAGTCACGTCGAGTCACTATTAGAAAGGTTGCCGAGGATGTCAACATAGTCGATTGGCTCATGCCATGCAATTTTTTGGAAATTTTGGGCATGAAGCGTGTGGCAGCAAAGTTCATTTCAAAATAGCTGTATTTTGACAAAAAAACATCTCATGAGCATCGCTCATGCGACAGACTCGTGGTTTCATCATGCTGTTTGCTCTCATAGTTTCCGTTGAAATGTTGAGGTCTTGTTGTACGAGGGTACCATTTATATTTCAGGAATAGCAAATAATAACAAACATTTTATAATGAAAATGGCTTTTTTGTTTTTGGAAATATTCCCCTTGATGATCAATACACTTTTGCATCCGTTCCAATCATTTGTTAAAGCAGTTTTTCCACTACTCTTGAGCCACCTCTAAAACATGGTTTTTGAAAGTTTCAACTGCTTCTTCGACACTCGCAAATCGTTGACCACGCAGTTTACCGTTGAAATTCGAGAATAAAAAGAAGCCATGATGTACCAAATCAGTACTGTACGGAGGATGAGGCATCACTTCGATGTTTTGTCTGCTCAAAAATTCTACTGTTTGACGAGATGTGTGAGAGCTTGCATTGTCACTTTTTCACTGGTACAGTTTCTCAGAAATTTTTGGAATCACAAATGATACTTAAATTTTAAAGTTTTAAAAATACCACTTCCTATCAGGATATCCGAAATAAATGAAGTGAAAAATGACATTGAGAAATATAGTAAAAAAAGTACGTGAATGGGTGAAAAAATTATATTTCTTAGTTTTTATTTAAAAACCGACAAAACTTTTATTTCTCCCAACATCAAATTGTTTGGCAATATTGCCAGACAATGCTTCTAGGAAATTAACAAATCCTTCCACATTAACTTCTTCCTGCTCGACTTATACATNACCTGGCACATCGGTTGCTATTTTCAGTTGCTCTTTATTTTGTCTTACGGCAAAACATAGAATTACTGTTCCACGTAAGTTTCATTTCATTCCTTTCATTATAGCCAAGATCCCAGGGCCACCAGACGTCACGTATTTTCTGACGAAGTAAATAATTACTTAACTACACGTGAATTGTGATGCTCCATTTTTACACTGTAGTCTGTCCACCAGACTACTATTTTAAAACCTTTTACAAGAAGACAGACCGATCCAAGGGGCCAATCATTCCCTAAATTCAATTTTAATGCCTCTGTTTGTAGGAGCGCGAGGGCATTATCCACGGGCATGGGACTGAGCGAGACATGTATTAAGATATATTGACTTCTCTTTCTCTCACTCTCTTACAGTTTGCTCATTTAATAGGGCCACCAGACAGATCTTACTCTATTAATTATATTGTGTAGGAATCCTGTGAATGATATCTGATTCGATTCCTTTACAAATGTTCGGAATACAAACGGAATAGAGAAAAGTGGTTTTCGTATAATTCAGCGTTCAAAAAAAGTATTTGTTTCGAAAGTATTTTCTTACGTGTAGTTCAATGTTTATATGAAAATAGCTTATTGGAGAGGGCTTTTTCTTCTAGTTTGTGTCTGGAAGTTACTTCTTTGCATGATCTTCACATCTTCGTATAGAGTTGATTTTTTTGCTTCCTTCCTTTCTTGAGAAGATTCCCACATGTTTTGTATCAAGATGGAGAAGTAGAAAGTCAAAACCTTTCTTTCCAAAAAAAACATTGTTATTCAACGAGCTAGAAATGCAGCCGTTTGTAGTTAAAATGAAAGTTCATTGAACGCCGTAAATCATTATAACGAGTAATAGTCATTTTTTGCGAGTAGAATAGGAAGATTCATTTGTGGAGAATAACCCGAATCGAAGTAATAACAATCAAATTTCATGACAGGAAGTAAACTAAAAATAGCGTTCAGAAATATTTCCTATTTTTGAATGGTTTGAAAATTGAGTGGAAAAATTCGGGGGTGAGACTAGACCCCAGATTGAACTCTGTACCATTGACACATAATGAATATATTCATTTGCAGCATCAGGATATTCATCATCATGCTACAAGAAATACAGATCTGTTCATACATCCTCGATACAAACTCACAAGGTCTATTGAAAATTCATTGAATATCAATCTCTACAATCATCTTCCTAATTCGTTCAAAGTGCTCAAACAAAGCTCCTTCAAAAACAGAGTCGGAACTATCCTCCTGGAAAACTGTTTTTATAGTACTCAGGATTATTTAAGTACTTCAATTATGCCGATTTAGATTTGATTTTATTTCATCTGATATGTGAAGCTCATGTTTATACATAATATTTGTTTTTTGACACTTTCAAAAATTTTAGACTA